TGGAATAATATTTGATTGCTCTGAGAAGAACGGATTGAAGTAGGGTTGGAAAGGAGTCTGGCAAACCACTTGACAAGCAGCTATAGGAATCCACTTGGAGGTGGTGATAGTTGGATCACACTCTGTTGCCCTTCTTCAGGTCTAGTGCTTTACTGATACTTCGTTTTAAGTGTGTCCCCTCTCCTTAGTTATTCTACCTTTGTGCCATATAGACTAATTACTTTTGTGATTTCTGCAGTTGGTTGAGAACTTTCTCCTGGGAATCTTTTTTTTTTTTTTTTTTTGAGGCGGAGTCTCACTCTGTGGCCCAGGCTGGAGTGCAGTTTCGCTATCTCGGCTCACTGCAAGCTCTGCCTCCCGGGTTCACGCCGTTTTCCTGCCTCAGCCTCCAGAGTAGCTGGGACTACAGGCGCCTGTCACCACACCCAGCTAATTTTTTTTTGTATTTTTAGTAGAGACAGGGTTTCACCATGTTAGCCGGGATGGTCTCGATCTCCCGACCTCGTGATCCGCCCGCCTCGGCCTCCTAAAGTGCAGGGATTACAGGCATGAGCCACCGTGCCTGGCTTTCTCCTGGGAATCTTAAAAATATTCAAGAGTTTATCTTAGGCCAAAATAAGAATGGTGACGATGATTTATTTTTTGCCTTAAAAACTCCAGGCCAGGCACAGTGGCTCACACCTGCCATCCCTTTGAAAAGACTGAGGCAGGAGGATCACGTGAGGCCAGGAGTTCGAGACCAGACTGGGCAATGTAATGAGACCCCTCTAAAAAAAAAATACAAAAATTAGCTGGGCATGGTGGTGTGCACCTGTAGTCCCAGGCCATTCAGAAAGCAAAGGTGGGAGGATTGCTTGAGGCCGGGAGGCCGAGGCTGCAGTGAGCTGAGATTGTGCTACTATACTGCTAGTTTGGGCAACACAGCGAGACCCTGTTTCAAAAGCAAAAAACAAAAAACAACTCTAGTTGTTAATTTGGTGAATTTCAAGTTTTGTTTTTTTTTTTAAGTGATTAATAGAAAATTAATATAGTGGCTTAGAAATTAAGATTTAAAAGTTTTTAGATTATAGACTGTTTTGATGGAGGAAGTACTCCAATAAAAACTATGCCAGATGGTAGCCATAAGCCCTTGGCCTCAGTGTTGGCCCATCAGGTTTCCAGTTAGTGACTCTGTCCTTATCTCAGTGGCCTTCTGGGGGCTGGATCAGTACTTGAAACATAAAACTTGGGGAGGTTCAAAGTGCAAGCTCCTCTGTTGTTTGCAGTTTTGAACATTGCACAGAAAGAAGAGACATTGAATCTTTCCTTTTTTTTCTTTTCTAAGGATTGAGGCTAATAATCATTTTCCTTTCTAATCACTAAATTAAAAGTACATAAGTAAATTACCTTCCATTGCTAAAGAAGTCAAAACTTCTTACCTTTTTTTTTTTTTCTTATGTGAAATCACAGACAGTTCTCTGAGAATAGAACAGTGAGTGTATTCATATCGGCCCTGGAGAATAAAGTAATACCAGTGGAAATTGTTTCCTCTTCACTTTACTTCTACTTTTGCCTTATAAATATAGGGCCTAGCCTACCCTGGGGGTAATGACTCAGGTTCCAGCAGTGGTCACCTGTTTTCAATCCCCCTCACCCATTCCTCTTCAAGGTCCTCACGGTGTCAGCTGAAGAATGACAAGGTTCATAAATTTGGAAAGGAGAGCTTTATTTCTTATAAAGCGTTGCAGCCTGCAGGGTGATCATTCTGACAGGCTGGGAAGCATAGCCTCCGGCCTGAAGCCAGAAACAGACACTTGGAGAGAGGGACAAAGGGAACAGGAATTTATGCTGAGCAGAGTGGCCGAATATACATATTTAATAAGTTAAGGCGTCATGAATATTTATGAAAGGAGAAACATGTGCATGCACAATTGAGCTTCATGCTCCTTCCTAGGTCCTACATATAAAAAAATTGTGGTGTTAGCATGATTCCGGAGTGGAGTTTTCAGCCCTCTGATGTCAAAAGGTAAAGTGGAGGACATGAAAACCCTTACTGTTCTTCCTGTGTAGACTGGCCAGAACTACTCTGTGGCTGGTGGTCTCTTATCAGGAAGAAATGCTTGTAGGTTGTTTTGTTGAAACTGCAGAATGGAGGGGCAGCAGTCAGGCAGTTGGTTGAGATCAGTGGTGGAGTCTTTTGAAAGGCCTGGTTTCTGTTTAGTCCAAGTTTGTTCAACCTGCGACCCATGGGCCGCATGGGACGGCTTTGAATGCGGCCCAACACATATTCATAAACTTTATTAAAACACTGTGAGTTTTTTTGTGATTTTTAAATTTTTTTAGCTCATCAGCTATCGTTAGTGTTAGTATATTTTATGTGTGGTCAGAACAGTTCTTCCAGTGTGGCCCAGGGAAGCCAAGAGATTGGACACCCCTAATTTAGCCCTTAGAGAATAATGCCTAATGGCATGATGATAATGGCAGTTATCAAGGGAGGGAAGTATAATGAAGTGTGTCTGACCGCCCATCCTGTTATAACTGCCTAATGGCGGTTCTAATGGGTTCTCCTTGCCTGATGCCTAGACAGAACCGATTTATCAAGGTGGGAATTGCAATAGAGAAAGAGTTTAATTCATACAGAGCCAGCCGTATGGGAAACCAGAATTTTATTATTACTCAAACCCATCTCACTGAAAACTCAGGGATTGGAGTTTTTAATGATAATTTGGTAGGTAGGGGGTCAGAAAGTGGGGAGTGCTGATTAGTCAGGTTGGAGACAAAATCATAGAATCATGACTCTTCAAAGCTGTCCTCTTGCACTGAGTCATTTCCTAGGTGGGGGCCACAAGACCAGATGAGCCAGTTCATTGATCTGGGCGGTATCAGCTGATCCATCTATCTCAAGCACTGATCTTCAGTTTGACAGTAGTGTTATTACCCCCAAGAACAATTTGGGGAGGTTCAGAATTTTGCAGCCTCCAGCTGTGTGACTTCTAAACCTTAATTTCTAATTTTTTCTTTTTTTTTTGAAATGGAGTTTCACTCTTGTTGCCCAGGCTGAAGTGCAATGATACAGTCTCAGCTCACTGCAACTTCGGCCTCCTGGGTTCAAGCGATTCTTCTGCCTCAGCCTCCTGAGTAGCTGGGATTACAGGCATGCGCCACCACGTCCGGCTAATTTTGTATTTTTAGTAGAGACAGGGTTTCACCATTTTGGTCAGGCTGGTCTTGAACTCCTCACCTCAGGTGATCCACCCACCTCGGCCTCCCGAAGTGCTGGGATTACAGGTGTGAGCCACCACACCTGGCCAATTTCTAATTTTGTAGCTAATTTATTAGTCCTGCAAAGGTAGTCTAGTCCTCAGACAGGAAGGGGGTTTGTTTTGGGAAAGTTAAACTAAAAACTAAGTTAAACTATAACCTAAGTTCCCGCCAGTGCTGTGGCTTAGGCCTCTGATCCCAGCACTTTGGGAGGCTGAGGCAGGTGGATAGCTTGAGCTCAGGTGTTTGAGACCAGCCTGGCAACATGGCAAAGGCCCTTCTCTACAAAAAAATTACCCAGGTATGGTGGCGTGTTCCTGTGGTCCCAGCTACTTGGGAGGCTGAGGCCAGCGGATAGCTTGAGCCTGGGAGGTGGAGGCTGCAGTGAGCTGAGATTGCACCACTGTACTCCAGGCTGAGTGACAGAGCGAGACCCTGTCTTTAAAAATAAATAAATAAATAAATTTTAAAAAAAGTTCTTAAGGATTGTTTTCAGTAAGCTGCGAAATATCTTTGTGAAATGCACTGTTCTGACTCAAGACACATTTCTACCTAAAGAATTTTGCTCCATTTGATGTAGTCAAAGAGTTTTTTCACTGGACATTTTGGTGATTCACATCTTTCTTACTCTCCTGGTTTTTCTAGATTCTGTGATTGTTAACACCTTTCTGTGTTTTAAAAACCTGAAGTATAACCTTTTAATTTTTTCTTAAATTACATAAATGCATACCTTTCTCATTTGAAATCTGAAATTGTAAATTTGGAAATACAGAAAAATGTTCCAACCTGTTTGTTTGTTTGTTTGTTTTTGAGACAGGGTCTTGCTCTGTCACCCATAGTACAGTGGAATGATCGTGGCTCACTGTACCCTTGACCTCTCAGGCTCAAGCAATCCTGCCGCCCCAGCTTCCTGGGTAGCTGGAACTATAGGCGCATGCCACCATGCCTGGCTAATTTTTAGAATTTTTGTATAGAGATGAGGTCTTCCTGTGTTGATCAGACTGGTCTCAAACTCTTGGGCTCTAGGGATACTTCCACCTATGCCTCCCAAAGTGTTGGGCTTACAGGTGTAAGCCACTGCCCCTGGTCTCTTAAGTGTTTTAGTACCTGCCATTAAATAGTCATCATTCTTTATGTCTGGCATATTTTTGTATGATATAAACTTAGAAATTGTAACTTATTTTTTATCTTAGATTGCATCTTAGATTGGATGCTTCCTGAGGTTACCTTATTCCCATTAGTAATAATTTCTAGTGGCATTTTCAAATGTTGGCACACTCTGTTTATATTGTGGGAATTCTTTTTTAGAAAGGCATTTTGATTTTCCAATCCTTTTTCTTTCCTACTTCCTCACTTTCATTTTGATGTTTTTTCTTTTCTTTTTTTTTTTTTTTGAGGAAGAATAGCTTTTAGGTATTTAGGTTGGTGACATGTTTGAATAGACTGAGATCTCCTATATATCTCATTATAATGTCCATGGTTTTAGTTACAAATGAGAAACCATTTGAAGAGTTTTATGACCATGGTTGCGGTTTTTTCAGGTATTTTCAATGAATTGACGTTTGTTTCTAGTTTAAACTTTGAAAAGATACGTAAGTGAGACTGGTAAAAGACTAGAAAGCTTACTTAGTGGTGGAGAAAGTTGTCAAATATATATGGTATAGTTCCAAATAAAAATTATAGAATATTTTCTTTGTAGTTGTCTGTTCTGTTACTGATACAGATTAAGACTAATACTGTTTTTCTTCTTAATTTTACAGAGTTAATAGAGTGGATACAACCTTTCTGAAGATGAAGAATATACAATATTGAGGAGATTTTTTTCTTTTTTCTTTCAAGTCTTGATTTGTGGCTTGTCTCAAGTTACCACTTTTCAGTCAAGTCTGTTTGTTTGCTTCTTCAGAAATGTTTTTTACAATCTCAAGAAAAAATATGTCCCAGAAATTGAGTTTACTGTTGCTTGTATTTGGACTCATTTGGGGATTGATGTTACTGCACTATACTTTTCAACAACCAAGACATCAAAGCAGTGTCAAGTTACGTGAGCAAATACTAGACTTAAGCAAAAGATATGTTAAAGCTCTAGCAGAGGAAAATAAGAACACAGTGGATGTCGAGAATGGTGCTTCTATGGCAGGATATGGTAAGATAACTGTAGAATATTTCTAGTCTCCTCCGATCCCTGTTTAAAGATGGTTGTGGAAATTGAACTTATTACTTCATGCATAGGTCTTTGCAAAGTAATTTTTTCTTTACTTTTTATTAAGAAAATTTCAAATATACTGAAAAATAGAGATACTATGATAAATATGTACATATTCATCATCCAGATTTAACAGTTATTAACATTTGGCAACATTTGTTTTATCTAAGTGTTGAAGAGTATTTATAGAAATTGTGACATTTCGCTGCTAGATATGTATCGCTGAAAAAAATGTATCTTGGAGGCCAGGCGTGGTGGCTCACGCCTGTAATCCCAGCACTTTGGGAGACCGAGGCGGACGTATCACGAGGTCGGGAAATCGAGACCATCCTGGCTAACATGGTGAAACCCCATCTCTGCTGAAAATACAAAAAAAAAAAAAAATTAGCCAGGCATGGTGGCACGTGCTTGTAGTCCCAGCTACTTGGGAGGTTGAGGCAGGAGAATCATTTGAACCTGGGAGGTGGAGGTTGCAGTGAGCTGAGATCGCGCCACCACACTCCAGCCTGGGTGGCAGAGTGAGACTCCGTCTCAAAAAAAAAAAAAAAAAAACAAGAAAAACCAAAAATGTATCTTGGCCTGGTATTGATGGCTCACACCTGTAATCTCAGTACTCAGTACTTTGGGGGGCCAAGGTGGGAAGATTGCTTGAGCCCAGGAGTTTGAGACTAGCCTAGTAGCCTAGGCAACATAGTGAGACCTCTACTAAACATACAAAAAATATCAGCCAGGCATGGTGGCGGGTGCCTGTAATTCCAGCTACTCGGGAGACTGAGGCAGGATGAGGCAGGAGAATCTCTTGAACCAGAGAGGCAGAGGTTGCAGTGAGCCGAGATAGTGCCACTGAATTCTAGCTTGGACAACAGAGTGAGACTGCATCTCAAAGAAAAAAAAAATTAGCCAGGCGTGGTGATACACACCTTTAGCCTTAGCTAGTCAGGAGGCTGAGGTGGGAGGATCGCTTGAGCCCAGGAGGTCAAGGATACAGTGAGCCATGTTTGCACCACTATACTCCAGCCTAGGCAAGACAGTGAGACCTCATCTCTTTAAAAAAATGTCTTAAAAAATGACCTCTTTGGACATAATACCAGTATCATATCTAGTTTATGTTTAAATTTTCCTGATTATCCCAATATAAGCCATCAATTGTATAGCATTTATTATTTCCTAAGAAGCAGGATTTGCCTATATATCTCCAGTATTGTTTATTGCTATTCTCCCTTCCACATTACTGGGTCCTGCTGTGTTTTAAGTTTCTTCTCATGACATGTTATTTCTTTCCTTTAAGACTTAAAAAGGAGAGAGAACAGATAGTATGGTTCTGTCTGGAACAATGTATATACATGAATGTGTGGATATTTTCTCTATTTCAGTTTTGTTTGTTTAATTAAAAGTTATGGCTGGGCACAGTGGCTCACACCTGTAACCCCAGCATTTTGGGAGGCTGAGGTAGGCGGATTGCTTGAGTCCAGGAGTTTCAGACCAGCCTGGGCAACATGGTGAAACCATTTCTCTACAGAAAATACAAAAGTTAGAGGAACGTGGTGGCGCACACTTGTAGTTCCAACTACTTGGAAGGTTCAGGTGGGACAACTGCTTGAGCTTGGGAGGTTGAGGCTGCAGCGAGGCGTGATCACACACCACTGCACTTAAGCCTGGGTGACAGAATGAGACGCTGTCTCAAAAAAAAGTGATACATGCATGTATTTAAATAATCAAAGTATGTTATGATTCCTGTAATGAAAAAGGGCAGTTTTTTCCACTCACAAAAGTCCTCAAATTTCCTGTTCTTTAGAGCCACCCATTTTAAATTCTTTCATCTCATTTTTTTTTGGTGATTATTTCTGTATCTAAATAATATGCCCTATGAGCTACTTTTAGATTTTTCAGTTTTAGGTGTTATCTGTTAACTTCTCACTATGCAAGGTGAGAGTTTAGCTTTCTTTCTCACCTAAAAATGCATTCCATCCACCCCCCAGGCTGTTGTCACATCCATATCCTTCTTGTCCTTTCATTTTCCCTTCATAATTTTGTTTAGAATAATATTCAGTATTTGTACTATTATGACCATGTTGATGGTATTCATTATTGAGCCATGTAAATGCATACCTCAGAGATACTGTGGATTCTGTTCCAATCCACACAATAAAGTGAATATCACAATAAGCAAGGCACACAGCTCTTTTGGTTTCCCAGTGCATATAAAGGTTAAGTTTATACTATACTGTAATCTCTTAAGTGTGCAGTAGCATTATGTCTTAAAAAACAATGTACATACCTTAATTAAAAATGCTTTATTGCTAAAATATGCCAACAATCATCTGAGCCTTCAGCAAGTCATACTCCTTTTGCTGGTGGAGGATCTTGCCTTGATGTCAAAGGTTGCTGACTGATCAGGGTGGTGGTTGCTGAAGGTTGGGGTGGCTGTGGCAATTTCATAAAATGAGACAATACTGAAGTTTGCCACATTGATGGACTCTTCTTTTCATGAAAGATTTTTTTTTTTTTGGTAGCATGGATTATTTGATAGCATTTTACCTGCAGTAAAACTTCTTTCAAAACTGGAGTCAATCCGCACAAATCCTACTGCTGCTTTACCAATAAATTTTACATAATATTCTAAATCCTTCGTTGTCATTTCAACAGTGTCCACAGCATCTTCACCAGTAGATTCCATCTCAAAAAACTACTTTCTTTCCTCTTCCATAAGAGCAGCTCCTCATCTGTTCAAGTCTTGTCATGAGATTACAGCAATTCAGTCTCATTTTCAGACTCCACTTCTAATTCTGCAGTTACTTCTTCCACTGAAGTCTTGAACCCCTCAAAGTCATCCATGAGTGTTGGAATCACCTTCTAATTCATTCATTCATTCTTGTAAATGTTGACAGTTTTACCTCCTTTCATGAATCATAAATATTATTAATGGCATCTAGAATAGTGAATCCTTTCCAGAAGGCTTTCAGTTTACTTTGTCCAGACCCATCAGCTCTGGCCTTATGAAATGTATTTCTTAAATAATAAGACTTAAAAGTCCAAATGACTCCTTTATCGATGGGCAGGAGAATGGATGTTGTGTTAGCAGCCATGGAAACATTAATCTTCTTGTACATCTTCTTCAGAGCTGTTGGGTGACTGGGCACATTGTCAAGGAGCAGTAATATTTTGAAAGGAATCATTTTTTTCTGAACAGTGGGTCTCAACAGTAGGTCTTAGTGGGCTTAAAATGTTCAGTAACTCATTCAGTAAACATATGTTGTCACCCAGGCTTTGTTGTTCCATTTATAGAGCACAGGCAGAATATATTTAGCATAATTCATAAGTGCTCTAGGATTTTCAACATGATAAATGAGCATTGGTTTCAACTGTAAGTCACCAGCTGCATTACCCCCTAAGAATAAAGTCAGCCTGTCGTTTGAAGCTTTGAAGTCAGGCATTGACTTCTCCTCGCTAGCTATGAAAATCCTAGATGGCATCTTCTTCCTATATAAGACTATCTTGTCTACAGTGAAAATTTGTTGCTTAGCGCAGCCACCTTCATCAATTATCTTAGCTAGGTCTTCTAGATAACTTGCTGCAGGTTCTCCATTAGCACTTGCTGCTTCGCCTTGCACTTGAATCTTACGGAGATGGCTTTTTTCCTTAAACCTCAAAAGCAACCTCTGCTAGCTTCCAGCTCTTCTTCTGCAGGTTCCTAACCTCTCTTAGCCTTCATAGAATGGAAGAGAGTTAGGGTCTTGCTCTGGATTAGGCTTTGGCTTAAGAGAATGTTGTGGCTGGTTTGATGTTTTATCCAGACCACTCAGACTTACTTCATTTCAGCAATAAAGCTGTTTTTCTTTCTTATTATTCATGTGTTCCCTGGAGTAGCACTTTTAATTCTCTTCAAGAACTTTTCCTTTGCAGTCACAGCTTCACTGTTTGGCACAAGGCCTAGCTTTCAGCCTGTCTCAGCTTTCAACATGCTTCCTCGCTAAATTTAATCATTTCTGGCTTTTAAAGTGAGAGAAAAGGGACTCTTTCTTACACTTGAACACTCAGAAGCCATTGTAGGGTTACTAATTGGCCTAATTTCAATATTGTTATGTCTAAGGGAATAGGGAGGCCTGAAGAGAGGGAGAGAGACAGAGGAAAGACCAGTCGATGCAGCAGTCAGAACACAGGTAACATTTATGAATTAAGTCTGCTGTCTTATATAGGTACAATTCAAGGTGTCCCAAAACAGTTCCAATGTTAACATCAGCAATTGCTGATCAGATCACCATGGCAGATACAAGAATAATGAAAAAGTCTGAAATATGATGAGAATTACCAAAATGTGACAGAGACGCAAAGTGCGCAGATACTGTTAGAAAGATGGCACCAATAGACTTGCTCCATGCAGAGTTGCTGCAAACATTCAGTTGTAAAAACACAGTATCTGTAAAGTGAAGTGCAATAAAACAATGTATTTCTCTATTACATTATGGTTACTTTCCTATAAACTTTCACCCTAGAGTATAATAAGTATTGATTTTTGCTTCTTTGCCTAGTTTTCTACGGCATCCCCCTACAGTTGTTTAAATATTCTCCTAGCATATTCAGACACATTAGGCCTTTTAGCACTTCCTGTATATTGAAGAAGTCTTTCCCGATGCCTTCCAGTCAGCTCTGGCCTGGACTGTTTGCTCTCTATAGGATTGCAGCAGTGAATTGTTTTAAGATCACAATTTGTCATCATCTTGTAGATTTATTTTACTCCTCTATTATATTGGATCTCCTATTTTCTAGAATTTTTTAGCTTCCCCTTTATTGGTTATCCCCTGATTTTAAGGGACTAGATCTTCTGGTAGTTTCCTGAGAAAGATGCAGATAGGTAAAAGTTTTGAGTTCTTACATATCTTGAAAAGATCTTTTTTCCCTCAACCCTCATGCTTCATTGTAAGTTTGGCTGGGTACAGAAT